GAGCCGTAAAAATTGTTTTATTAATCTAAGAGCTCTTGGGTTGCATTATGTTTTGGGATTGTTATATTTTCCTGTTGAATTTCTCCCTTTACCATTGCATAATGACTATCCTTGTCTGTCTTTAGCATTGTTGATTTAAAATCAATTTTATTTGGTATAAGAATGGCTACACCTGTTCTCTTGGTTTCTGTTTGTGTGAAATATTTCTTTCCATCCCTTTATGATGAGTCTATGTGACTCCATGTGGGTTTGATGTGTTTCCTGAAGATACTATATGCTATAGTATGTGTTTTTTCACCCATTCAATCTGTGTATATCTTTTGAGTGGTGGTCAGACCATTTATATTGAGTGATAATATTAATATTAGCAGTGACATGAGACCTCAAGCTGGAGGGACCCTACTATGCCCCACCCCAGTGCAGTGCCGTTGCACATCTCCAAGCAGATTTGTGATCAGTTCAGAGTTCTCCCCAAATCTTGGGTTGCAGTGTCTCCGGGGAGCCCCAGAGATCTTTTCTCTAACCCTTCCTCATGTGTAGATGCTTTTTCCATGTACCTTCTAATCTTGCTTAGCAGATTATCCTGCTTCTTTCTTCCCTTTTTAGGTTTCTCTGTTTTTTTCTCTGATGACTCATGGTGCTTTCTCCCAGATGGTCCATCTGTGGGTAAACCTCGGTAACTGATTCTCTTCTCAAACTTTGGTTCTCTTCTTGGGAGAGTCAAGTGCAGGCTGCTTCCAGTCTGCCCTCTTGCCCCCTTTTCCCACTGATCTTCATATTTCTTGTAGTATAGGTCACCTGGTGATTAATTCTTCCAGTTTTGAGTATCTGAAAATGTCTTTATGTCACTTTTTTAAAATTTATTTTTTTGCTGAGTATAGAATTCTAGGTTAAGATAGAGTGTTTTGTTTTTCTTTCTTTAGTTCTTAAAGTTGTTGCTCCACTGTCATCTGGCTTTTATTGTTTTCAACTAAAGTCATCCTTGTTGAAAGAACATGAAGAAGTCATTCTTTGTTCCTCTGTATGGAGTGTCTTTTTTCTCTGGCTGGTTTTGAGATTTTCTCTTTACTTGTACTTGTAAGCAATTTAGTTGTACCACATATTTTAGTTTCTATGTGTGTCTTTTCCTTAGGATTTATTCTGCTCCTTGAACCTATGGGTTTATGGCTTTCACCAAATTTGGAAAAATTTTATCTGTTGATTCTTCAAATATTGTTTTCCTCCCCTTATTTTGTCTCTCCCCTCTTTCATGGACTCTAATCAGCTGTGTATTAGATTGCCAATAGTTGTTGCTCTTTTCATTTTATTCTTTAAATTCTCAAATTCTGTAATTTTTCCTTATGCAATGTGTAATTTTCTTTTAATCCTGGAAGTGTATTTTTCATCTCAGATATTGTATATTTCATCTCTACAAGTTCAGTTTAGATTAAAAAAAATTTTTCCATGTCTTTCCTTTATATACTCATTTTCCTTCAATGAACATGTGCAAATATAGTTATAATATTTTAAAGTCCTTGCCTACTAATTAAAACATCTCAGACATTTCTTAGCTTTTGTTGCTTGATTAATTTTTTTTCCTCCAGGTAATGCTTTCTTGCTTTTTTATATGTCTGGTAATTTTCGATTATATAGTAGGCATTATAAGTTTCACTTTGTTGGCTACTGCTCTATTTTAAAAATATATTCTTGGGCTTTGTTTCAGAACACACTAAAGATACTTGGGAACATTTTGACTTCTTTCAAAAGTCACCTGTAAGCTTCATTAAGTCAGACCATAGCAGCCTTTAATTTAGGCCTAATATTTCCCCACTACTGAGGTGACACTATTCTACACCTAATGCCCCACGTATTATGAAGGGTGTTTTTGCTCTGATTGATGGAAATACCGTTTCCAGCCTTATCAGAGCCTTGGAGATTGTTCCAGCATCTGCTTTTGTGTTGTTTTATATTTTTCTCAGTTTTTTTAGTTACTTAAGGTAGAAGGTCAACTATAATCCTCTTAACTAAATTTTGGTCAAACTGGAAGTTCAGATCATGGACTCTTAACTACAACAATGGAGTGACTTGTACAAAAAACAAAGTGGAGTCTGACAGAAAGTTTTCAGGAGTAGGAACTATTTCCTGGAATCAGGTCCTTGAAGACTATTCATCTTTGTTTTCTCTCTCTTTTTTTTTTTGAGACAGAGCTTCAAGCTATCACCCTGGGTAGAGTGCTGTAGCATCACAGCTCACAGCAACCTCCAAATCTTGGGCTTAAACAATTCTCTTGCCTCAGCTTCCCTAGTAGCTGGGACCACAGGTGCCCACCACAATACCTGGCTATTTTTTGGTTGTAGTTGTTATTGTTGTTTGTCAGGCTCGGCCTGGATTCAAACCTGCCAGCTCTGGTGTATGTGGCTCGTGCCTCAGCCACTTGAGCTACAGGCGCTGAGTCCGTGTTTGCTTTTTCTAAAGTCATTTGTTCTCCCCCAGCGCCAAATTCACACATTATCTCAAAATTTCTTTGATATGAGAACAACGGTCTCTTAACCACAATGGGAGGAGAAAATGTGGTGACTACTACATGTCCCTTAATATCTGTCCCCCTCTTCTTTTTCTAGTAAGAAAACCCTTGCCAGTGGAATGTCACATTCAATTTCTATAAATAACCTTAAAATCAGGGGTTCCTTTCTTCTTTGTACTTTTGTCCTTTCTCCTAGTTAGATTTGTGAGTGACGCTGATAGCTTGAGTAAACATTTTGGACACTAAGAAAGAACTCCTGTACTGGGGATGGTGGAACAGCAAGATGGAATATTCCTGGGTTCTTGATGCCATTGTGAAGCCACATACCACTTATTTTGTTCTTTCTATCCCTGAAATTTTTTGTTGGTATATGGAAAAATAAACTTGTCTTATTTCAGCCATTGCATGTACATGCACATACGTATTCTCTCTCATTTTCGTTCTCTCTCTCTTTTTCTTTAGAGAGGGGGTCTCATTATTTTTCTCAGGCTGGTCAAGAACTCCCAGCCTCAAGTGATCCTTCTGCTTTGGTCTCCCAAAGTACTGGGATTGATTATAGGCATGAGCCACTGCACCCAACTACTGCCATTGTTCTTTTGAATGTTTCATTGCTCATATTTGAAACTAACCTTGACTGTTCCATATGAGAGATGATAGAAAGGGAAGGGGCAACCAGCTGTGTAAGTTACCTATTAGTCAGGGATTGTACTTTTCATATAGTTTGCCCATGCCTATAACTTTTCAAGTTATTTTAAGAGCATATTACAGTTTGCAAAGCATATTCATGTATATATTATCTAATTTGATGCTTGCAGCATCTCTTAGTTGGTAATGATAGGAAATATGGGCCCATTTTGGAAATGAGAAAGCTAAACTTAAAGTGGTCCAGTGATCACACTATATCCTTCACAAGTCAGTGGGGAAAGTAGGATGAACCTCTGTTCTTCTGACCTGAATCCAGTGTATTATCCTCAGTTGTAAATGGTTTTTCCTATTCATCTACCCTTGATAGGATTTTCCATAGAAGGGGGGTAGAGTACATTAAGGGGAGATATACTAGATCCTGATTTTTTTATTTGTCCTTCCAGCAATAGAGTGAATCATGCTTAAGAAGACCAACAGGATTCAGCCCCCGAGCCCAAAAAAGACACAAAGCCCTGAAAACTTTAATCAACGAATTGCACACGTCTTCAGACACCAGAGCTATGTCACCTTCCTTACTGTCTGCTACAGTTGTCACTGTAATTTCAGAACATTGAAAAAAACTAAATTTGGATCCTGTTGCTGCACTCTGGTACAAAGAGCGGAGAAGGAGCTAGTCCACACTTTCTCATATGTGGGGAGCATGGGCTGGGCCCTGGACCCATGGGGACTCGTTAGAGTCTCTAGGACTGGGAATGCTAGGGCTTCATTTCTTCCATGAAAGTAATGTACCAATGTTAAACTAATGAAACATGTTCTTGCTTTCTTCTTTTTCTTTCACTTTATTCTTTCCTTTTCTTTCAGGATCCATGCCTGAAGTAATTTATTCCCCTCACCCCTGGATTCACACCTTATTTCAAAATTCCTTTGGTATGAGAACAACTTTCTCCTACTGCAGAGGGGTGAGAAAAACTGGTAGAGACCAGCGGATGTACTTTAATATCTGCACCCAGCTCCTGCCATGGTTCTTTTGAATGTTTTGTTGTTTGTATTTGAAGCTAACCCTAAGTAATTCCATATGAAAGAGGATAGAAAGAGAAGGGGCAACTAGCTGTGAGTCTGAATACTTCAGGCATGGATCCTGCTTTCAAGGAATTCAGTCTACTGGGGAAAGACAAGTACACACACAATCTCCATATAGTGCGAAAAGTGCTGTAATTGTCTACATACATGGACTTGCAGCCACATTCCAAGAGAGAGGCCAAAGATAACTTTATTTAGAAGGTGAAGGGTGAGTAGGAATTGGATAGGCGAAGAATTGGGGATTATGGAAGAAATGCTATTGAAGGAGGCTTCAAAGGGCCTGGTGAGTTTGGAGGTTGGTATATATTTTAGATGGAGCAGTGGATATGAATGGAGAAGTGATGGAAAGTAAAACTAGAGAAGGAGATGGGTCAGATGTTATATAGAGTTAGGAACTTAACTTCTGCCATGTAGGGAATAAAGAGTTCCTAAAAATTTTAAGCTGATGATGTGGTTGAGTCATTTTGGGGATGATTATTTGATTATGTGTAGGTTATATTGGAAACAACAAAACACATGCAGGGAGACCTCTTCAAAGAGAAAGAACGTTGTTGGTCTGGATTAGAATAGTGATGGTAGAAGCGGAAAAGAGAGGGTAGAGTCCTTAGAACTTAGGGATGAGGTGGTAAGTCATGTCAGAGCTGGAAAGGATATATGGAGGCTTCATAGGAAAGGTAACATTTGAGATAGTGTAATATCAAGGAAAAAAAGTCCCTGGACCAGAGCCTGGGAGTGTAAATGGGTTCCAATTCCTACTTTGCCTTTGGGCTGATCATGTGAGCCTTTTTATAGCTAGGGAATTAAACTATATAATACTCTAAGGCCCTAGACAATTCTTCTTCTTCTTCTTTTTTTTTTTTTTTTTGCAGTTTTTGGCCAGGGCCAGGTTTTAACTATATAATGCTCAAAGGCCCTAGATAATTTTTTTTTCCCCGCAGTTTTTGGCCAGGGCCGGGTTTGAACGTGCCACCTCCAGTATATGGGGCTGGCACCCTACTCCTTGAGCCTCAGGTGCTGCCAGGCCCTAGCTAATTCTTAAGTCCTTTCTGCCTTGGAGAGGGAGTATGTCAGATGGCATAAGTGCTCATAAAATCATGTGTTCTGGGGAAAGACTACCCAGTTCAAATTATGGCTTCATTACTCACTATCTCCAAATTAGAGTTCCATCACTGTGGGAGATTGGGCAAGTTACTTAACAGCCTGGTGCTTCAGAGTCCCTATTTGAGTATTGGACATAATAACAATAGTACCCACCTCCAGGATTTACTGTGAAGATAGAAGAGGTAATATGTGGAAAAACTTCAAATTGGACTTGGTATGCAATTAGCACTCAATAAATAATAGCTCCTACTGACTTGCTGTGTTGGAGTCACTGAATTGTGGAAGTGACATATTGAAATACTGGTGCAGGAAATTCTATTTAGGTGGAGGCAATAAGGTAAACAAACATTCAGAGATAGAGCAGCACAGTGGTATATTTAGGGAAAAATGAAATTCCATTGTTAAATGTAGAAACATGTAAGGGAATAAATAGTAGTAGGGCTGCAAAGGAATATTTTCATCAAATTATGAAGCATTTTTAGATCAAATTAAAATATTTGAACTTTATCCTGTGAACAGGAAGGAGGCTTTGAAAATTTTTGAGCCAACAGGGCAATGATAAGAATCAAAAAAGGAAATGGTTTATTTTAAAAAAATATATTAAACATTTAATATGTGCCGCAGTGACTAAGACAGCTAAGACCGCTGGCCTTCCTGCAGCTTACATTCTAGTGGGATGAGTTAGGTAATAACAAATGAGAAAGATAATCTTGCATAGTGATAAGAGCTTTGAAGATAATAGGACAATGTGTCAGTAGCTGGAATGGGAGAGTGGTTAGAGAAGACCTCTTTGAAATCATGTCATTTGATCCTTTTCCATGTGTGTATCTGGGGGCAGAAGTATTCTAGGCAGAGGATCCAGCAAGTAACCAAGCTCCTGAGGTGGGATCAAATTTAGTTGTGTTCTAGAAACAGAAAGAAGGCCCCGTGTGACTGACATTCGGAGATGGACTCAAAATGTAGGAGGGTATGAGGTCAGGGATGGGCAGGGTTGACTATGTAGAATTTTGTGGGCCGTGGAAGGCATTTTGGATAATGTGGTAGTACAGGAGAAAGCTCTGAGACGGTTTGGGCAGGAGAGTGACATCTGATGTATGTTTTTATAAGTCTGCACAAGTTTTGTGTGAAGTATGTGTATAAGACCTGCGTCAAATCCTGTGCTCTTTAACCTCTTGCACTGAGAGGGTGAGAGTTTTCTACCTTGATAATCTGTAGAGTGTCTCTTCAGCTTTTTGGAATGCCCTTTATATGTTTTCCATTTTATATTTTTATTCTTACTCCTCACAATAATCTCAGAAGTTGGGCAGGGATTATTCTACCTAATTTTAACAGATTAAAAACTACATCCTAAAGAGGTAGAAAGAATTTCTTATTTATTTATACCAAGGCCTTTAAGATTACAAATTTGAGGGCAATCCAAGCCTAGTCCTCCCAGGAAGGTTTGGCAACTTGTAGCATGGCTAGTTTGTGATTTGATTTTCAGTGTGGGAGTTTCCTCTAAGGGTCAGTGTGACTACCTCCTCCATAAGGATATCCTGCATACTGATCTTGGTTCTAGTCCTATCCCTGCTACTTCTTGGCTGTGTGATCTTGAGCCAATTTCTTTACTTCTCTGAGCTTCCTTCTGCAACATGAGGTTAACAATACCTAACTCAGAAGGCTGTTATGACAGATTAAATGAAAGCAGTTTGTGAAGTCCCTAGTATTGTACTGGCATAAAATAGCTACTCAAAGGTGTTTATTTCATAACTCTGATTCCCCTTTTCTCCCCCAATTGGGTAGATAAATTACTAAGTGAACCTAGGAATAATGAATGAATTACTCAACGAATGAATCACTGAATAGACATTTGGCAGCTGCAGAAGTGGATGAACTCAACAGATACCTGTTGAGAGCCAGCTGAATTCAAGAAACTATGTTAGAAAAAAAACTATGCTAGATATTGGCAATACACAGATGTGTAAGAGAAGTTCCTTTTCCTCATAGAAGAAACAGTGTAGCATTAGATACAAACATATAAACACAGAATTACAGTTCAGTCTAATAAGTGTTATAATATGCATATATAAGATTCGGTAGGGGTAAAAAGAAGAGAGTGGTCTCTCTAGCCCGGGGGAGGGTAATGCATGGCATGCTAACTATATTGACCTTTGGCAAGGTGTATACAGAAATTTCTGAGTTTACATGGATAAACAGACCTAAGTTAGACTTCTTTCTCTTCCCAGCAAGAGCGATTATTTTACCCATTCCTGATAATTTCATTTGTCTTGTCTGGGATTTGGCTGTTCCTGTGGATAGAAACCTCAAATGAATACAATGGCTTTGACTGGTGAGTTTCACTTTTTGTACTTTGATTTAAGTAAGTGCTATTTGGTCTGATAGCCACCTGGATTCTGCCTCAGGTTGAAAAGATCTGCTGGCATTAGAGAGTAGAGAAGACTGGACTTTCCACCAGTTGTAGGTGAGAGGCCTGCCTCTGGAGCAACGGTAGGATGCTTAGCACCCTAATCTAGTGTAGGAATCCTTCCTTCCACCTGTGCTCCGTCTCACACTTAGACCAAATCTGGCTCAGCGGGAAGCTTTCTCTTTCCAATGTCCCCAGTTCTTCTACATCAGTGTTTTTCAAATGTTTTTATCCCACAGCACACTTGAACCTGTAATTAAACTTCCACGTCACACTTAAATTATGTTGATCAAAAGAAAAAAAGAGCAAAAATGAAAAGTATATACTTAACTGTGCTTTGAACTTTTTTCAAAAATAATTTAATTAATGATCTTTGAAAATTTTCACAGTACACCCACTGGTTGAAAATCACTGTTCTACACAAACAATGATTCTCTGGCATCTTGTCCTCAGTTCCTTTGACTGGATTACTGATGTCTACACTAGAAGGTCTTCATCATCTCTGTCCTCTACTTTTCCTACCACTACTGTCTCTTCCTGCTGTTCTTTTTTTATTTTAAATGTAAAGAAATATAAGAAACTGGCTCAGCGCCTATAGCACAGTGGTTTCGGCAATAGCTACGTACACTGAGGCTGGCAGGTTTGAACCTGGCCCAGGCCAGCTTAACAACAATGACAACTGCAACAAAAAATAGCTGGGCGTTGTGACAGGCGTCTGTAGTCACAGCTACTGGGAGGCTGAGGCAAGAGAATTGCTTAAGCCCAGGAGTTTTAGGTTGCTGTGAGTTGTGACACTACAGCACTCTACTGAGGATGACATAATGAGACTGTGTCTCAAAAAAAAAGAAAAAAAAAGAAAAAGAAATGTAAGAAGTTAGAAAGTATAGTATCTGCTTAGTCTCAGTTTTTTTTTTAAACCACTAGAGCCCCAAGGATTAGTCTCATTCTTTTTTTTTTTTTTTT